TCATTTTATAACTTAAAAAAATAAATCAAGCATTTTTCTGTTATATTATTTAATGCCGATATTAGGAACAGAAAAAAAGAGATTTGCCAGTAGTCGCCAGGGGGTGTCGATTACTAGAAAAATATCATATTTGATCAATTTCACCAAAACTTGAGAAAAGTATTAAAAAATAATCCAAATCCAATTATTTCGAAAAGTAAACAAAAAATTTGGAATCTGAAAAACTTTATTTTTCTGCAATTGAAAGATTTCACTCAGAATGTTGAAAGATTGAAAAAACGAAAATCCTTAAAGCGCCGACTACTGGTACACTTACCCTATAAACCAATTGTTATCCGTTGGTAATGGAGAGACCGGCTGGAACTATTTGGATATATTTTTTTTAAATGTTCGTCCTACCCCGATTTAGGTTTTCATGCAAAGAAAAAGTGACCACGCCCAATTTTGGCCCATTTTTTCGATTTATCTAAAATCCTAATATTTTCCAAAATCATGAAGATATCTGTTCCACAGTTACTATACGACGTAATATTGATTCTCCCTCCAACTTTAGATATCTTTTTGGACTCAAAGGAACTGGCCACACCTACTTTTTTAAATTTATATGTAAAAAATTTGAAAAAGTATAGTAACTTATAAGTTGAGAACGGCTGGGCCGATTTGACTCAAAGTTTCTTTTGGTTATTTGTAATTACAGTGGAAACGTTATTGGATATTTTTTTAAATGTTGGTCCTACCCCGATTTAGGTTTTCATGCAAAGAAAAAGTGACCAAGCCCAATTTTGCGCCCATTTTTTGATTTATCTAAAAACCTAATACTTGCCAAAATCATAAAGATATCTGTTCCACAGTTAGAATACGACGTAATCTTGATTCTCCCTCCGACCATAGGTATCTTTTTGGGGTCAGAGGAGCTTGCCACACCTACATCTTTAAATTTATATGTAAAGAAAATGAAAAAGTATAGTAACCCAACAGTTGAGAACGGCTGGGCCGATTTGACTCAATTTTTCTTTTGCTTATTAGTAATTATAGTGGCAGCGTTGTCATGAAAGAAATTTTTGAGAAAAATCGTTGAACTGGAAAAATTTACTGTTCTATTATCATAAGGAATTTTGTGTGGAATTGTTTCAGAATACCTTTTGGAATTGAAAATTTGATTTAATTTTTTTGGAGTCCATTTTATATAGCTTAACCATACACAAAGGGCTGCAAATATTTTGCCCTATACTCCGCAAAAGTTACGATAAAGTTTTAAATTTGATATAGACCTAGGGGTTACATGAGGAATCATTTGTACAAAATATGTATCAGGTTGGTCTACATTGTGATATAGCCCCCCTCAAATGGCTATGCTTTATTATAACTCGTATGCGAAGGTATCCGGTGATTTTAGCTGTTACCAGGGTCTTGGTCACATTTTTCAATCGATTTGCCCTTATTTGTTTCGGAGTAGGGCTCATATAAAAGTACCTCCTGATTTTACCTATTTCGAGGGTTTTCATTATATTTTCGAATCGATTTGACTTAAAATGTGTGTTTAGGCTACTTTGGGGGTAGAGAACTAACTTACATGAGCCTATTATAAACAGTTCATGTATACTTTTTAATATATTTGCTATATTATTTAGGTTTTTAACTCTCAAACTAAAACCTCTCACTGAAGTTAGGGCCAGCTAGTCTATAATAAAAATTATTTAGTCAAGTCATACCAAAACGTTGATCTAAATATTTTTCTCAACTTATGTGTGGTAAAAGATTAAATATCTTTAACTATTCTGAAATCACTCTGCCTTCATTTATGAGGTGGACAAAACTAAATACCACGCAGCACGGTATTTTAAACGTTGGAAATGCAAAATCCAAATTACAGCAATTTGAATGGAAAATGTCGCTAAGCTCTATACAATACCAAAAATTGAGCTGAGTTTTCACATGGGGCTATTATAGTTTTTAACACTCAAATTAAAGTCTATGGCTGAAAAATAAGATCGGGGTATTCAAAATATCTATTATAATTTTTGCCATGAATATTTATTTATTATTTGGAGTTATTACTTATAATACAAATTGTGCCGCTTGCAGATCTGTAATTAAGTGGAGACCCACTTAAAGTACGGACCGGGCCAGCTATTATATTATAAACAAGTTAATTTAATCTTTCATGCATTGATAATTCTTCTTTTAATATGGTGGTGTATGTGTTTGTTAAGAGTACATTTTCATATCTTCTATATCCTCAGTATGATACTGGATATCATATTTATACGCTACACCACGTAGTGGTGGGGGTATTATGTCTTTGTGCAGTTGTTTGTAACATGGAGAAGGAAGCAAGATAGACCCATAGTTCAATTTTATGATCTGCATAGAACCACATTCTGAGTCGATTTATGCATGTCCGTCAGTCTGTCCATTGTTGTAAACAAAGTACATGTCGCATTTATTTCCCGATCGAGATGATATTTTGCACAAATAATTTATTTGACCGAAGGACGAAACTTATTGAAATTAGAGATAATTGGTCAAAATTTAGACATGGCTCCCATACATATCTTTAACCGATTTCTGGTTAATTGTGCACCAAATGGCCAATATCAGTCCAAATGACTTGAATTTCAACCGAATTCTGTCTAGAAGCAAGTACTTTAAATTAGGTAAAAATCGGTAAAGAATTAGCTATATATGTGTTTTATCCGATTTGGGATTTTAAGTCTCTCACATGTGTATATTACACTCCACAACAATGATATTTATCCGATGTCAGGTTTATTGTGCACCAAATGGCTAATATCAGAATAAATGAACAGAATTTTTGCATATCCGACGGAATTCAGGCTAGAAGCAAGTACTTCAAATTTTGGTGAAAATCAGTTCAGATATAGCTATAGCTCCCATATATACTATGTTTTCGAATCGATTTGACTTAAAATGTGTGTTTAGGCTACTTTGGGGGTAGAGAACTAACTTACAGGAGCCTATTATAAACAGTTCATGTATACTTTTTAATATATTTGCTATATTATTTAGGTTTTTAACTCTCAAACTAAAACCTCTCACTGAGGTTTTTTGAAAGACGTATTTATTTCTATTTAATCGAGTCATAATATATACCAAAAATTGTGCCACTCATGTGAGCCAAATTTGTAAATTATTATGCTTTAAAAACTATGCATTAAAGACTAAAACTACGGGCCAGCAACGGACTGGGCCAGCTAGTCTATAATAAAAATTATTTAGTCAAGTCATACCAAAACGTTGATCTAAATATTTTTCTCAACTTATGTGTGGTAAAAGATTAAATATCTTTGACTATTCTGAAATCACTCTGCCTTCATTTATGAGGTGGACAAAACTAAATACCACGCAGCACGGTATTCTAAACGTTGGAAATGCAAAATCCAAATTACAGCAATTTGAATGGAAAATGTCGCTAAGCTCTATACAATACCAAAAATTGAGCTGAGTTTTCACATGGGGCTATTATAGTTTTTAACACTCAAATTAAAGTCTATGGCTGAAAAATAAGATCGGGGTATTCAAAATATCTATTATAATTTTTGCCATGAATATTTATTTATTATTTGGAGTTATTACTTATAATACAAATTGTGCCGCTTACAGATCTGTAATTAAGTGGAGACCCACTTAAAGTACGGGCCGGGCCAGCTAGTATATTATAAACAAGTTAATTTAATCTTTCATGCATTGATAATTCTTCTTTTAATATGGTGGTGTATGTGTTTGTTAAGAGTACATTTTCATATCTTCTATATCCTCAGTATGGTACTGGATATTATATTTATACGCTACACCACGTAGTGGTGGGGGTATTATGTCTTTGTGCAGTTGTTTGTAACATGGAGTAGGAAGCGAGATAGACCCATAGTTCAATTTTATGATCTGCATAGAACCACATTCTGAGTCCATATTCTTAGTCCACATTCTGTCCATTGTTGTAAACAAAGTACATGTCGCATTTATTTCCCGATCGAGATGATATTTTGCACAAATAATTTATTTGACCGAAGGACGAAACTTATTGAAATTAGAGATAATTGGTCAAAAGTTAGACATGGCTCTCATACATATCTTTAACCGATTTCTGGTTAATTGTGCACCAAATGGCCAATATCAGTCCAAATGACTTGAATTTCAACCGAATTCTGTCTAGAAGCAAGTACTTTAAATTAGGTAAAAATCGGTAAAGAATTAGCTATATATGTGTTTTATCCGATTTGGGATTTTAAGTCTCTCACATGTGTATATTACACTCCACAACAATGATATTTATCCGATGTCAGGTTTATTATGCGCCAAATGGCTAATATCAGAATAAATGAACAGAATTTTTGCATATCCGACGGAATTCAGGCTAGAAGCAAGTACTTCAAATTTTGGTGAAAATCAGTTCAGATATAGCTATAGCTCCCATATATACTATGTTTCATCCATTTTGACGTTGAAGTGCTCATATGCGTAATATACATTCCACAACAATGATATTTGACACCGGACATCAGATACAGCTCGAAAATACCTTTGCCAAATTTCAACGAGATTGGTTTATATTTTTATATACCTTCGATATAGATCTTCATTCGATTTTACAGTTATTGCTCACCATGTATGCAATATCAGCCCAAATTGGATAGATGTTTTCATATTCAACCAATAAATATTTTTTAATATAATATATAGAGAGGGAGGTCTAACGCTATAGGAGAGAGCCTCCAGATCAGGATCTTCACCAAATTAAAAACTAATTGTAGTTTGTTAATACCTAAAATTGAATTCAGAGAGAAGTATATGTATTTTCTCAAATTTTAAGCAAAACATTCTCTCCATTTTGGAAGATTATGGCATTACAATATTATTTTCTCTGAATTGAGTTCTTTAAGTTCAAATTTTACATAAAAACAGATAATGCACACTAAGACTGCTTCGATACTAAAACTTAAAATCGCAGTTAATTCTTTAATTAGTGTTTAATTACTTACCAGTATTTTGCTAATCCAAATATTTCTTTAATTTCAACATCATCGGGATTTGATTCAGCTCGTTTCTCTATTTTCGGTAAAGTCCAGTTAAATCCTAGCATTGATTTTTCTACTTTGCCCAGATGATGCGCTATGTTCGCAAGTTTTAAACTGATGTGAATAACCTAAAAATCGAGATTTACAAGTGTTAAACTTATGTGAAAAGCCTAAAAATTTACAAGTTTTAAAATATAAAATCTTCCAAAACGTTTCGCCGTGCTATACTATACTATATAAGAGCTTACTTAAAATAAGAATCTGAACATGTACATTTGTATTCTTAGCCGAGAACTACATTAACATATAGTCCTATATATAAAAGGATTGGAAATTTTAATTATACACATGTACATCTATGTACGTGATTTTGTATTGCCAAAGAACTACATTAATTTAGGATCCGCAAATTTTCTATTTTGAAAATCAAGTATAGCACTGGTTATGTGCCGCGTAGCGCCGTTCTGTTGAAACAAATTATTTCCAAACGGCAACCCCTTGATAATTTTTTAAGAAATAGTAAAGTAAGCTATACATTTTACTTGAGCTAATTACCCATACAACTGTGAAACAAATTGAGCAGTTTTTTTTTTTTTTTTTTTTTTTTTGCTGTTATTGGCCTGCTTGATATAACATATATGTCAGCATATGTCAGTTATATGCTGACATAGAATAAATCTATAATATAACAAGTAAAAAAGCTGTAAGTTCTGCCGGGCCGAACTTTGAATACCCTCCACCATTTGGAACGAATTTGGCAATATTCAAACAAATAAAATCCGTTAAAAATTCTGTTAAAATCTTAAAAATGCCGAATGTAGTTGCTATATTAGGGTCTATACGACCCTATATGGGGACTATTCCAAAAGGTGGACCTTCACAGACAATTTTCTGTCTTAAGCTGTAGTATCCATTATGAACTTTAAAGATGGAACGACATCGCTAAATCGACACAGAATTTTAGTCTGATCAAGAATATTTCTACTTTGTGGGGTCTAAAATGTATATTTCGAGGTATTACAAACGGAATGAAAAACTTAATATACACTCCATACTATGGTGGAGGGAAAAATAAATGAGTGAAAAATCGATGAGCAAAATAAAAAATAAAATATATTCATTTGAACATTCTTCATGAACGGGAAATGTTGAAGAAACAGTCTGGTAAATGACGTATAATGATGATACTCACTGCCGGTGTTGGTTTGATGTTTTTGTTGTGTTTTGTAGTGGCAAAACTTGACTATAACGTATACGGCTATTCCAGGTAGGTTATTATGATATGAGGGTGAATGACCATCGATTTTAATAATTGTGGAAGGCGTCCGATTTTAGTGGATTAAGGCTGCTCATCAGTATACTGTTTTCATAAGTGATGTTTAATATAATTGTTGGGGCAAACCATATTAAGAATAAGGTATCTTATATTGCAAAATCCAATACGGCAACGCTCATATATTGGCAATATTCGCAGGGCAGCCGCCAATTCAGTCTTATTCTGTCGGTCACTCGAGTCTAACTCAATTCATTGTAATTTCTTCATTCATACGATGTAAAATAGTAGCTGTGAACGCTCATAATCCAATAGGTCATTGCACCTTTAGAATTAACAAACATTTTTTTATTCAAACAATAAAATTACAACAAAAGTGGCGACGAGGATAGTGGAAATGAATCAATATTTGCACACTCAACAATCCGCAAAAACGTCTCAAGACATACTTCTTCAATTGTTAACAGAGCAACAAGAAGCTATGTCGGAACAAACGGAACTGTTAAAGCATATGGCTGATCATCAAAGCATTAAATTCACCACAAACATCAAATTCATCCAAAGCAGCATTAATGGAATCACTAGCATAATCAATGACAGCATTTGTGTACGAGCCAGAGAGCGATCTGATATTTCAAGCGTGGTACAACAGGTTTGTGCATGTTTTCGAAAAAGAAGCCATCTCACTCGGAGAACATGACAAAGTGGCCTTGTTATGGAGAACAAGTAAAAACAAGTAAAGAAAGCAGTAAGTTCGACCGGGTCGAACTTTGAATACCCTTCACCATTTGGAACGAATTAGAAAATTTTCAAAAAAATAAAATCCATTAAAAATTCTTTTAAAATCTTTAAAATATCTAATATATCTTTAAAATATCTATCCTCCCGATATATGGGGCGATATATGATATTATGGACCTATTAAGACAAATCAATGTCTGGGTGTAAAGTGCTCACAAGGAACTCCTTGTGTGGATTTTCAGATAATTCCGTTAAAAAGTGTGGGTAAAATCATCAAAATGGGGTTCCGTTATATGGGTGATATACGATATCGTTAACCTATGTAGAAAATTCTCTGTCGGTGGGTAAAGTGCTCACAAAAAACCCCTTGTGTACAATTTCGGACCATTCCGTTGAAAAATGTGGCTAAAATCATCAAAATACCGAATATCGGCGGTACCGTTATATGGGGTCTATATGATACCGTGGACATATATAGATAATTCTCTGCCGAGGTATAAAGTACCCACAAGGAACTCCTTGTGTGGATTTTCAGACAATTCCGTTGAAAAATGTGGGTAAAATCATTAAAATACCGAATATCGGGGGGTACCGTTATATGGGGGATATTCGATATCGTGGACCTATATAGACAATTCTCTCTCAGGGGGTAAAGTACTCACAAGGAACTACTAAATGTGGCTAAAATCATCAAAATACCGAATATCGGCGGTACCGTTATATGGGGTCTATATGATACCGTGGACATATATAGATAATTCTCTGCCGAGGTATAAAGTACCCACAAGGAACTCCTTGTGTGGATTTTCAGACAATTCCGTTGAGAAATGTGGCTAAAATCATCAAAATACCGAATATCGGGGTGTACCGTTATATGGAGGCTATACGATATCGTGGACCTATATAGATAATTCTCTGCTGAGGTATAAAGTACCCACAAAGAACTCCTTGTGTGGATTTTCAAACAATTCCGCTGAAAAATGTGGGTAAAGTTATCAAAATACCGAATATCGGGGGTACCGTTATATGGGGGATATACGATATCGTGGACCATCTTCGAACTTGACCTGCCTGCAGACAAAAGAGAGATCTGGCCAAATTTTAGCTTCCTATCTTAATTCGTTTAGACTGTAGCGTGGTTACAACAGACGGACGGACAGGGCTAAATCGTCTTAGAAGTTTACGTTCATCAAGAATATATATACTTAGTTGGGTCTAAAATGATTATTTCGATGAGTTACAAACGGAATGACGAACTTAATATACCCTCCATACTATGTATGGTGGAGGGTATAAAAAACATTAAGTCCGGCCGGGCCGAACTTTTAATACCCTCCACCTCAGGGTAAAGGAAATATTAGTACCCATTTTGACCCACAAATATCACTTTTTAGACATATTAGAGGGAAAATGTGGCAAAAATCATCAAATACAATACATACATTGTTTCGCTAACGGAGCAAGAACCCATTAGGACACACAAATACCAATTTTAAGACAAATCTGCGAAGAAATTTGGCAAAATCATAAAAATACCGAATATCTGGAGATACCGTTATATGGGAGCTATACAAAAACGTGGACCTATACATGCAATGTTTCGCCACCGCAGCCAAACGAACAAAAATACCAATTTTTAGCGAATCCGTGAAAAAATGTGACAAAAACTATAAAAATACCGAATATCTGGATCTCCCGTGATATGTGGGCTATACCAAACGTGGACCTATACAAGCAATGTTTCGCCACTGGAGCTAGAGCCCATTATGGACAACAAATACCAATTTTTAGACAAATTCGTGAAAAAATGTGGCAAAAATCATGAAAATACCAAAAATTGGGAGGTACCTTTATATGGTGGCTATACCAAAGCGTATACCCATACATACAATATATCGCCGCACGAACTAGGACCCATTATGACCTACAAGTTCCAATTTTTAGACAAATCCGTGGGAAAATGTGGCAAAAATCATGAAAATGCCAAAAATGGGGACTATACAAAAACGTGGGCCGATATAATTTATCATTTTCAATACCAACCATCCTAGACACAATACAAATTGTTCTGCTAAATTTTGACGCTCTACGTCAAATAATGTGGACTGTATCGTGATTTGAACAGACAGACGGACATCGTTAAATCGACTTAGTATTTTATGCTGATTATGAATATATATACTTTATGGGGTCTACGACGAATATTTAAGGATATTACAAACGGAAGGGCAAAGTTAATATACCCTCATTTCCAAGGTGGAGGGTATAAAAATGTCAAAGATTTACCAGCAAAATCTGAAGACATGACTCCAAATGATACAGTAGAGAAACTCAAAAAAGTCTTCGGTAAATCAGAAACTCAAGTCTCACAAAGATACAAATGTCTACAGCTAACAAAAGGCGACAGCGAAGATTTCAGAGAGCACGCAAGCAGAGTAAACCTACAATGAGAACTATTCAAAATTAAGGTATTAAAACCAATTCAAATGTCTCATTTTCATGTTAGTCGTGTTAAGTCAGCAAAAGATAACCACATAAGACATCGCTTACTAAAGGTACTGGGTGATGAAAACACTACATTGAACCTAGATCAACTAGGAGGCGAAACACAGCGAATTTTCAATCTCAAATCGAACAACATTCTCATTGAACATCAATCAAAAATCGTCTGTTCACTCAACAAGCACGCAAAAGACTTCAAGAAGCACAAAACTCCCAAATCACCTTGCTAGTACTGCGGAGATCTTCACTACGTCAAATTTTGTACTTTCCGGAAACAAAAGTGCACAACATGTCATCGAGTAGGTCATAAAAGTAACTTTTGCAACATCGCTAAAACTGGTGACAACCATTATCTGAAAACAACTAAAACGAAATCAATAAATCCAGCAATTCAAGGTAATCATCCAACACTAAGGCAGTTTTCAAAACACACAACATTAATTTCCGCGACTCAATGAAACACTGTCCTAATTAACAACAATCCTGTAAAACTGCATCAGACATATCAATTACATCTATCAGCACATGGAAAGCTATAGGTAAGCCAGGTGCTTACGAAACTGATGACAATGCTAGCGACGCAAACTCAATCAAGGTCCTAGCAGAATTTAA